AGAGTGAAGATGTCATGACTTTGTTTATTTGAATTGTTCTGAGTATATAGAGTAGAGTATAGAGCAATATTCCAACAATTGTGGAGAATATTGATGACTTTTTAAAGGCTTTACCAGAATGTACACTGTACAAAAGTTTAGGGTCTTTTATGCTCACCCAGGCTGCATCTAATCAAAATACAACAAAACAGTAATATTGTGAAATATTTTTACAGTTAGTATATTTTAAAATGTCATTTATTACTGTGATGGCAAAGCAAAAATTTCAGCAGCCATTCCTTTAGTCTTTGGTGTTACATGATATATAACATTTCTTATTTTTATCAGTTGAAAAGAGTTGTGCTGCAGAAATCATGATACTTTTTTTTTTTTGATGAATAGAAAGAATAATTTATTTTAACAATGTTTTGTAACAATGTCAGTCTTCACTGTTAATTTGGATCAATTTAATTAATCTTTGCTGAATAGAAGTATTCATTAAAAAATGATGTGCATGTACAGTAAATGTTGTTGTTGATCCTGATGCTATTTTAGTGCAAAAGCTAAATTGAAAGTCCTTTACAATGCATTCCTGGGTGCTGACTATACTAGCAAACTACTATTAATCCATTCACTTTCTAACACGCACAATTCATTATGTCATTGGAAATGGAATGGATGACATAATTCAACATCCTCTCAACCCACCTCCCCGCAACACACACGCTCAGCATGATTCATACTTCAAGGTCTCCAGGGTTTTTATCACAGAATGGAGTGTAATTATAAAAAGATATTAAGATTTATACAGGGCCAGCTTTTCAAAAAAACTTCAGTTTGATTGACACAGAGGTTTAAAGGTCGAGATATTAATATAATCAGCTCATCAAGTGAAAACGTGAGGCCATGCCCTCTCCTGTTGTTTTGGCAGCTGCTATAAAGTGCAAGCGGATGTATTAATAATCTAATTCTTCATGACTCTACTGGTTTCCAGGTTACAGCGATACGTAAACTCTGAAAATAAAAACAAGAGAGATAAATCTGGGCTTTTTCTTGAGTCATGAACCCAAAGTTAGAAGTCTTTGACAGATACAGGAGAGCTTCAACTAATTCTTCTTTGATCCTGTAATAATTTGCAAAGGCAGTTGAGAGTGGTCTGCCACACACACACTCAATTTAGTGAACGCTGCAACAACACGCACACACTCAGATACACAGAAACACAAAAAAGCCAACAAAACTCGCTGTTCTAACGATCCTATTCAGGTGAACGCACATAATAGAACATACAATGTAATTTCAGGGCTTACTGACAGTGACATGCAACAAAAGGAATTTTCACCCAACGCAACCGTTTGAAATATTAGTATATATTTGAAACTCTCATATGAACACAGTTAGAACGATACGTTTTGAAGAATTACACAAACAGAATGCACCAACAGCACAAATGAACCAGGTGCTACTCAAAACCTTAAACAGCTTTTTCTTTCTTCTCTGTAAGTGTCAAGGAACGATGGTTTGGATTTTTTAATTTGCAGGACTCTTACGGAAGAACAGAGAGAAGGGAAACAGCGAGCTGTGAAAACATTATGAAGAACATGCAGATAATAAGTCCATTCTGAGTTTTTTTAATCTCAGAACTTTATGCAGATTCAAACACTTCAGTATCTCACCTGGCCATTCTAGTAATGATCCCAGTGTTCTGTCCAGTTGTTGAATTTGGGTCAGGACTTTCAGGGGCAGCTAAACAATGTGTTAAAAAGCCCATAAGATTAAAAATCATTAGATTTTACTTCAACAGTTTCATTATTTTTTAACTAATGATAAGTAACTTTGTTAAATGTTTGCCCACCACTAGTCACTTACAGATTCTACTGACGACTTTGTCAATGAATAAGCCTGATTATCATTCGTTTGTGAATTTTGAGTAAATGTTGTGTAAAAAAAGATTTCATCTCATTTGCTAGCACTGAGTTCTTCTATGCCATTGGCCACCCAGCTTTCTAGATACTGTTATTAGCATTGGCCATCGAAAGCCCATACCGGTTGACAACTAACTTTATCTGATTATTTGATAGTTAAATGAATAGTTCACCCAAAAATGAACATTTTGTCATTATTTACATAATTTATTCACCCTTCACAGTTGACGGTAGCCCTTGACTTCCACAGTATTTCATTTTTTTTTTGATTACCAACATTCTTCAAAATATCTTCTTTTGTGCATACAGGTTTGGAATGACAAGAGGATAAGTAAATAATGACAGAATTTTCATTTCTGGGTGAACTATCCCATTAAACCTCAAAAAGGAAAGTGATTTGATGACTAATAACAGAAAAAATTATGAGCAGAATTGTGTGATTCAAAATGCTTATTTGGGTTGGATCACTAATATATTAGGAAAGACACTGATATGCTGAATATGGAGTTTACCATCATGCACATCTGGTGCTGGTGGACAAGTCACATGTGAATCAGCATGAATCTACAACAGAATAGAAACGAGAGAGAGAAATCAAGAACATACCAATGATGGATGTGCTCACAAATGAAAAGTACCTGAAACAGGTTTTTATTTTTATCAGCTGCTATAATTAACATAATGGAGTAGTTATGCCACCCGAATGAGCTAATATGTCAGATTGTGCACCCTGCAGGGGCAATTAAAAATGATTAACAATTGAGACAGTGTGTGTGTAAGTGATGGAGAGAAAAACTGGCTCCCCAAAACACACACGTTCATCCACTAACCTCACTGCCACAAACCATCTCTTCTGCACCATTGGCCGAGGAAGGGGACTCCCTGAAAGAGAGAAAGATTTATTTGTTCTCTTTTTTTTGACATATCTAATTCCTGTTCCCTTTTCCAGCACATTTAACATAAAAACAAAAGACCTGTTTTAGGCAAGTCTGCAAGCGTATGAGCCTGAGGGCTTGCACACATACACACAAATTCCCTATGAAAAGACGTCTATTTTTGATACTGCAGTAGGTGAGTTGTGTAAACTCCACCGAATTACTGCAGTCCTTGCCAGAATGAACCAACATCATCATTTTCTCATCGCCCACCACAAACAAAATGAGGACATGACGGAATTAAAAGTACGTCAAATTCTGTTCTCCGCTGGCTTATTGATTTGTGCATCTCTTTTTATGCGGAGGAATTGGATGAGATGGGATGTTATTTTAACAGCTAAATTATTATGTTCTGCCTGCAGATTGAGTGACAGCTTCATTGAGATGGCGCCCCATGCTCAGGCTCCTCTGCTCTGCTGTTTCATAACTGCTGCATGTGACTCAACACCTCATCACTCGGGTCAGCAATCTTATCAGCTTATCAACCATCACTGAAAACAAAGTGGAAAATCCCACAAATGTCTCCTTGTGTCTGTCTGACAGCAAGGTCCCATGAAATGTATTTATAAACACCATCCTATAATTGTATGGCTTGGTTTCATCATCACTCCGAATGGCCTTTTAAATGATTGGCAACTGTTTACTGTATATGAGTCATGCGATGAAATTTGGGCCTGTTCTATTGTTGTTTTATTCATTATTATTTTATTTCCATTTATGTTGTATCGTGACATTATGCATCCAGCAAGGACTTTAAAGAAGTATTAAAATGACACTACAAGTGTTGGAAAAAAAAACTAAATACACTTTGAGGGAAAGACAGATTTGCATAGGTGAAGGACAAGACTTGACATTGATTTATTACCTCATGCAGCACATAAACACACTTACTGAAAGCACTCTGGGGTTTGCTTATTATCCTTGTGTTGGTCCATAGTGCCCTCTTCTGGATGATCCATTGCAGTGGTTTGGTCTGTCCTCATTGGCTCACTAGCACACTGTGGACTTTTCAATATAGACTGTTTCTCCTGTGGGCATTTACATTTACTTTCATCAGTTTCTGACAATCACAATGATAGGAATCAAGCACCATGGCAAAACATTATGTTTGGAATTTTTACCACAAAATAATTTCAACATAACTTAAGAAATGAATATTTAACAAAAGACACTCACCGGTGTGTTCCAGGCGTTGGTATTTTTCACTGCTGAACAAGAGTCAAAGACTATAGTTAATTTAAAGCATGTGTCATAATGAAAAGGTGATATTGAGAGGACTCCCACCTGCATATGGAAAGGCTGGTTCACGATACTCCACATATAGCGTGATTAGGAAGGGGTATGGAGACAGTTTTACACCCTCTTTCATGAACTTCATTTTGGACACTTGTTCCCATTTACTTTTGTCTGTAAGTGTGGTGAGTTGTCAAGGGAAGTAATGGTCCATTATTTGTATAAATTGTAGTTATCACCTTTAGTTTAACTGACTCTGAATGCAACAGCAGTTCAGCTTTTATTAAAATGACAAACATTTTAAAAAAGAGTCAAAGTCAAGACTCCCTGAGTTCTTTCATACATTTAAAGGGATAGTTCAATAAAATGGAACTTTGGTTATTATTTACTTAACCTCATGTATTACTTTTTTTCGTCTGTGGAACATAAAAAAAATGTTATTTACAAAATGTCTTAGCGGTTTTTTCCATAAAATGGAAGTCAAAGGTAACCAGAACTGTTTGGGTCCTGACATTTTTCAAAATGTCTTCTGTGTGCTGCAGAAGAAAGATAACAGCTCTACAGGTTCGGAACGACAATTTCATTTTTGGGTAAAGTTAAATTCAGAGAAGCATACAGGGAAAAATGTTTAAATGCTGGGTGGTGAAGGGGTGAAGACCATCCAGGTTTGCAAGTACCGCACGCACAGCATTCTGCAAAACAAAATCAGATTAGGAATGAAATCTTCCCAAGGTTTACTAAATCAAATCCAAAATGATAATCCTGGTCTTAAAAAACCTCCAGCTCCTCACTGACTAGCGCTCCATACAGCATTTCTTCCTCATGAACGCTATAAAAGACAATATCCAAATCAGATAGGCTATTTCTAGAGAAATTACCTCTTTTTTAACTAATATCAAAAGGTAGGCTATATTGTAAAGGTAAAGGTATATTGTAAAGGTAAAAATCGTAAAGGTATTCAAAATAATATAGCATACTTTATATTAAACAAATAAAATAAGCTTGTATGGTCTTGCCTGCTCATGTCTCCTCTTCTTATCTTGAATTTGAAGACTTGTTGTCCAGCCTGAAAAAATCTGGTCTCAGGCACAGGGAAGGAAAAGGCCTGGATTGACATTGTTGCTCTTTTGAGTATAAATGGAACCTTCACTGGAAAAATATTAAACAAGAAGTATGGTATTACCTATATGATAAATGTATGTTTTATGCTTATATGTGTATAGTTTACAGAAATCTAGATTACTAAACAACTCCGGCTTGCTAGGACAAATGATCAATTCCCTGAGTTTCTGTAATTTATAAAACCAACACAGAATCGTTTAATTTTTGATTTTTTTTAATTTATAAATGGAAATGACATGGTTAATAAACACTCGGGGGCAAAAGTATAAGTTACCGTAACGCCTCATGCATTTCTCGCCAACTGTTTTAGAACGTTGAAAAAGAGCGCGGGCCTGTCAAGCGATGTCAGTGGTCCCGCCCTCAGGTCATGAAAGCATACTCTGATTGGTCAAATGCGGCATGCATCCACTGAGGATGCATGTCGCATATGTCCCGCCCCTTTATTGTCACATGATCATGTTAGGTTGAGCGGGTTGTACAGCAGTTGACATAGATAAGGCTGTATGAGAAAGTTTGTCGCTTACTCGTTACAGGTAGAACGTAGATAGATTAGTATTGTTATTTACGTGGAGCAGATCATTGAACCTTGACACATAAAAAAAATGTTATTTACAAAATGTCTTAGCGGTTTTTTCCATAAAATGGAAGTCAAAGGTAACCAGAACTGTTTGGGTCCTGACATTTTTCAAAATGTCTTCTGTGTGCTGCAGAAGAAAGATAACAGCTCTACAGGTTCGGAACGACAATTTCATTTTTGGGTAAAGTTAAATTCAGAGAAGCATACAGGGAAAAATGTTTAAATGCTGGGTGGTGAAGGGGTGAAGACCATCCAGGTTTGCAAGTACCGCACGCACAGCATTCTGCAAAACAAAATCAGATTAGGAATGAAATCTTCCCAAGGTTTACTAAATCAAATCCAAAATGATAATCCTGGTCTTAAAAAACCTCCAGCTCCTCACTGACTAGCGCTCCATACAGCATTTCTTCCTCATGAACGCTATAAAAGACAATATCCAAATCAGATAGGCTATTTCTAGAGAAATTACCTCTTTTTTAACTAATATCAAAAGGTAGGCTATATTGTAAAGGTAAAGGTATATTGTAAAGGTAAAAATCGTAAAGGTATTCAAAATAATATAGCATACTTTATATTAAACAAATAAAATAAGCTTGTATGGTCTTGCCTGCTCATGTCTCCTCTTCTTATCTTGAATTTGAAGACTTGTTGTCCAGCCTGAAAAAATCTGGTCTCAGGCACAGGGAAGGAAAAGGCCTGGATTGACATTGTTGCTCTTTTGAGTATAAATGGAACCTTCACTGGAAAAATATTAAACAAGAAGTATGGTATTACCTATATGATAAATGTATGTTTTATGCTTATATGTGTATAGTTTACAGAAATCTAGATTACTAAACAACTCCGGCTTGCTAGGACAAATGATCAATTCCCTGAGTTTCTGTAATTTATAAAACCAACACAGAATCGTTTAATTTTTGATTTTTTTTAATTTATAAATGGAAATGACATGGTTAATAAACACTCGGGGGCAAAAGTATAAGTTACCGTAACGCCTCATGCATTTCTCGCCAACTGTTTTAGAACGTTGAAAAAGAGCGCGGGCCTGTCAAGCATGTCAGTGGTCCCGCCCTCAGGTCATGAAAGCATACTCTGATTGGTCAAATGCGGCATGCATCCACTGAGGATGCATGTCGCATATGTCCCGCCCCTTTATTGTCACATGATCAAGTTAGGTTGAGCGGGTTGTACAGCAGTTGACATAGATAAGGCTGTATGAGAAAGTTTATCGCTTACTCGTTACAGGTAGAACGTAGATAGATTAGTATTGTTATTTACGTGGAACAGATCATTGAACCTTGACCGTGTTGAATTCACTGGCGCCTGTTTGTTTTTTCATTTTCAAAAAAAACCTGCAGGGTGAGTTTATGTCTCTGTTACTCCAATTTATAATTTCAATGCATAATTAAATATATTATTCTTAATGCACATGCTTCATCACTTCTTTATGCACTACAGCTTTCATAGTCTCCCTCTTCTCTCCAAATGACTGACCCTCAGCCATCTGTACTTCTCAACACTGGGACTCGGATGCCTCTGTTGGGACTGGGCACTTTCCGTTTGCAGGGTCAAGAGGACACTTATAATGCTGTGGATGCAGCTTTGACAGCTGGTTACCGTGCCTTTGACACTGCGGCAGTGTACCATAATGAAGCACAATTAGGTCATGCCCTCTGTTGCCTGCTGCCCAAGCATGGCCTCTCTCGAGAAGATGTTTTTATTACTAGTAAACTGGGTCCCAAAGATCAGGGGTCCAAAGCCAGAGATGGTTGCCTGAGGAGCCTGGAGCAATTGGGATTGGGCTACATTGACCTTTATCTTATTCATTGGCCAGGTACTCAGGGGCTGCCAGCGGGGTATAAACGAAACCCTGAAAACCGTGCTCAGAGCTGGACAGTCTTGGAGGAGTTCTACTCAGAAGGAAAATTTCGGGCCATTGGGGTGTCTAATTACACAGTAGAGCACATGCAGGAGCTACTGAAGAGCTGTAAAGTGCCCCCAGCAGTTCTTCAGGTGGAGTTCCACCCAAAGCTGGTTCAAAAGGACCTGAGGGAACTTTGCAAGGAAAGAGGGGTGTGTTTTCAGGCATACTCGTCTCTTGGAACAGGGCTTCTACCATCAGACCATGTGGTTCTGGATTTAGCAAAAAAGTATGGGAGGACATCAGCCCAAGTGCTGCTGAGGTGGGCCGTACAACAGAACATTCCAGTACTGCCAAAATCGCGTCAGCCAGAACGTGTGGAGGAGAATGGGCGTCTGTTTGACTTTGAGATTAGCGAGGAGGATGTGGAAAAGCTCTCCGCTCTTGATTGCGGGGAGAAGTTCTGCTGGGATCCAACACAAGTGTCTTAAAGACAACTCATTGACAAAAACTCAAATGAATTTTTGACTTACCGAAATTCCAAGGTTGTTCAGATTTACAAATTTACATCCCACAGCATCATCTACATGGCTCTTTATTTTATGGTTAGCTTGCTACTTTATCTTTTGCTTGACCATTTGAAAGGGAACTGCGAGAGATGTTCTGATGCAAACAGTATATTAAACCAGTTAACTCTGTAATAGTGTCAGGATTTTTTTTTAAAGCCGCATGTCCAAGTTCAACCTCTGTTTACAATTTGCACCTCACATAAAACAAAGGAGTAGAGTGTGACTAATGTAGAAGTAAACAACTGCAGTTTGATATATTGCCAAATTCTATTACATGAAGAACAGTACTTACATTTTACGTTTCAGAAAGAAGAACAACCTTGCTGAAAGTGATTTATTCATTCTTAGTAGGCTATATTGGTTAGTACAAACAATAACATCACAATAAAATGTTTTTAATTAATAGAAAAGTGACAAGGCATTGAAAATCTGTTATGTTCAAGTAATACCAGTAATGTTTGATTGTGTCCCCTGCTCTCTTGGGTATTTAGACCCATTCTTGTTTTGAAGTTTTTGTGTTTATTAGTTGTAGAAACTTCCTGTAGATTTTTATGACTCAAGAGATGGTAATAAAGCAAAAGGATTCTTCAAAGTAGCCAAAGTCCCTTTACAGTAAAAAAACAGATTTTATTTACAGCTGACGCTCTAAAAATATTGTTAAAAATTCAGGTAATGTATAATAAAATACCTTCAACGTCTTTTGATTTCATCTGAATATGAAAACCGATGTGGCAGAGTGACAGGAAGTCTATGATTTGAACAAGCTGATATCCAGCTTTCGCACATTCATGAGATTTACTGCGTAATATTCCCAGAGCTCAAGGAAAATTGGAGATTCTCCGGTTTTGTCATTTTTGTGGGCTAGCACATGCCAGTGAGAAACCGATTATGCTTTTCCACAGTCAAGGGTCCCAGTGCAGTTCATGAAAAGGCTTTAAAACCAGTCGATGGAATTATTCCTTCTCTTCACAGCAGTGCATCCTTTTCTTCTGCCACCAATTGTTATGTACAGTAGTCCTCTTTTCTCTCTTCTTCCATCATTCATTCACTGTCAGTCACTCTGCGGGGCGCGACTCAGCATCAGACTCTTTGTGACTCCAAAGGAAGGCCAACCAGCTGGGGGACTGCCGCATCTGCCGTGTAGTTCCTGCGCTCTTCACCCTCTTCATCTGTAAGAGATGCAAGATAAGAAAATCATTTTAATTTTCCATTGCTTAATAAGTAGGTAAAACAGAGTTTTAATTTACCTTGCATGTTGATCACTATTCTTAATGGAACTAGGTTTCCTTACCCCTTTATCAAGGAGGATGTCAAACTCATCACTCATTCTCCTTAGCTGTTGGCCATATTTCTTAGCTGCCCACAAAGCAGGAGGAGCCGAGCGAGATCTAGGCCTGAAAGGATCACCTCCAACCAAATCGCCTTCATCTGCTGCCCCGGTCTCCAGCAGGTCCTCATCATTCATGGAAAGATTCCGGTGTCTCCCTAGTTGTTCTCCTACAATGACATTTGATATTGAATGATACCTGATCAGATCAGACCTTACGTTAGAATACATTTAAAGTATCTCTTAATGCGAAATAAATTTGATCCATTATTGGTTTTAAAAGCTAAAACCAATGCCACCACAGAGTGCCTTCGAATGTACAATGTACTACATTCTTGTATTTGCTTGTAATTGTGGTCTGCTGTGCTGTGTATCCAGGATACAACAGAAATGACGTGTGTTCTTGTAACTATCCTACAGGCCCTTGAGACTGACTCACCTTTCAGCCTATCAGGCACAGCGAGATGCTGCTTTCTCTGTGGTGATCCACTGTTATTTTTCGCCTGGCCTGATTCCTCACAGTCTTCCGATGTCTCGGTCTCTGACTCATTGTCAGAGATACTGAACATTTGTGCCATGATTAAACTGCAAGTTAAAAGAAAAACTTGATTAATTACATTTTCATTTATGCACATTTCTAAATATGCTGTTTAGGTAGATGGAAACATGTTGCTGTTTGTGTGTTATTTCACATTATGAAATAGCTTATCCTCAAACAGATCAACTAAGAGCAGGATCAACAATATAACCTCATAAGCTACCGGTAAAGATGAGGCAAACAGTGCAATACTGCTTGATTAATATAGGCAGCACTGTTGCGCAGTATTTCACTCTTGAGCCACCACCACCAAAAAAACTAAAACCAGTGTTATGGTCTGAACTCAGACAGACTTTCTCGACGCGATCGTTTATAGTGAAAACTGACCACAGACATATTTCTCAAAGCTTATTTCAAAGAAATAACCTGCATTATCTGACAATAAACATAACAATAACAGTATTACCATACCAGTTTTGTTTAAATTTAGTTCTGCAAATGCTAACTACTTATGCTTATCGAGTTACGTGTCATAATTATTACATTTCAAGATACGGTTGTAATCTCACACGGTCGCATATAAAAACGGGGATCAAGAGGAAACTTCTGTTTACAACTTTGAGGCTCAGTGCCACCCCAAACCGTCCGACGACCGCGGGTTGATAACTTTTTTTAAGTTTCAGCCCTGCTTTGTAGTGTTTTCAAAATCGCGTCGTGTATTTGTTTAATTATTAATATTTAAACTATCGAGCTACCCACCGATGTTGGAGTCTCTCGGCGTCCTGCGTACAGTCTTCCGGGTGATATGGATCTGTGTTTTGGACTGGCTCTGTTTGGATTCCTGCTGCGGTCCTGACACGCACCCGTGATGTGGGGAGTAGAAGCGCAACAGCAAATCACCTCCAACTCCCACAGTGCAGGACACTTGTAAACAATAACAAATTAATTGAAATAAACACAGGCGTTGTTGTATTTAATAAACGTTTCAGCCCTAAATAATTTTTGTATAGAAAACCACTTTAAAAATAATGGACCCTCATTTACCAAATAAATGAATATGAAAAATGGATGACTTGAAATAATTGTATTATTTTTATTTTCGTTTATCAGGAGAGTGGCAGTTAAAGAGTTTTTGCTATGGACAACGGTTATTATTCAGAAATTAATGTCAGTCAATAGTGGCATTGAAAATAAATCGATAACGATAAAACGTTTGCTTTTATGATAATGACTGCGATAATGATGCAATAAAATTATTGGGAAAAAATAGGAAAAATTCTGCGCTAATTAAGTAAAATAAAAAGAAAATGTTTAAAATTGGGTGCGTAGATTAAATCAATAGAGAAAAATACAAAAAAGGCAAAGGCAAAAAATCCGCACACCAAACGAAATGCAAAGTTCCACACACACACACACACACACACACACACACACACAAGCAAACGTTTCAGTCCTTGCTGGACTATCTTCAGTGCTAAAAGGAATACTCCTAATAGGAATATTGCTAATAACCTACTCCTAAATATAATGTAGAAACTTAATATTTTCTGTAAAGCTGCTTTGCAACGATTGGCATCTATACAAATAAACTTGAATTGAAAAAAAAAAAAAATAGAATTGAATAGAAATATAATTATAATAAATAATTATATTATTATATTAATATCTAATAAATAAAATATAATTATAAAAAGGAAAAAAAAAAATTACTGGGTACATATTTAATGTTTTGGACATTTTTAGATTTTTATGTCCTGAATTGAATTATGTCCATGTCACGTTTAATAACTATTAATATCCAATGGTGGTGTGTTTGGTACATGAAGCACAAGATGTCGCTGTCTTGCAATGCAGCGTTTGTGTTTTGAGGCGATATTACGCAGGGCAGGGGTTGTAATAATTAGCATCAAAATTCTCACGTAGTGTCATATATTCAGTCATTACCTGACTGAACACATTTTCCCTCATTAAATAGCCTGAATTTAATTTGCTTTTTATATTGTGACAGGTATAAAAAGTTAATAATTGTATAATAAAAAGGGACTTTTAAATTAAACCTCTCCTCCATATGTATTCATTAAAGTATTATAAATATATTATAGATAAATACAATGTTGTTTTGTCCACTCTAAAACGTATTTTGCCGTAAAGAATCGTTCAACAGTAATACCGGAAGTAAAAGCTCCAGTCTCTCTCTCTCTCTCTCTCTCTCTCTCTCTCTCTCTCTCTCTCTCTCTCTCTCTCTGGGCGCTGTGTTTGTTCTCTAGTGCCCGTCGCGAGGATATGAAAGATGGCGAGCGCCGAGACAGCGGCAGAGAACGAGCGAATCCTGCGTGAGATTGAGAGCACAGACACTAACTGCATCGGACCAACACTCCGGTAAGTCTTCATTAACCGTACCGGAGGCTACCGGGCTCGGGGTGCGATATGACATTCCCGGAGAGGCTGTTCTCCTTGTTCCCTCAACTTCTCACTCAGAGACTTGCCAGGAAATCTTCCATTCAAGTTGTCAGGCTGGTAAAGTTGGTGATCGGTAGCGGTTTAGAGAAAGTTTTAGTTAGTATTCCTCTCACATGCCCCCCTGCATGGCTCCCGGAGAGTATAATGACTAACGCTCTTTGTTTGTAAACAAACCAAAAGAGCCGTGAATACTGTGTTGTGTTGTTGCTGTCCATTGTATTTAGGGAAGTAAACCAGGTTATTAACTTCTCAAAACAGTTGGCATTTTGCTTTTTCCTAACATGAATTTCTGCGTCAGAGTTTGATGACACATTTGTTTTGATTGGAAACCAAAATCAGTTGTCACCAAATTAGCATAGCTCCTTCTTGTGGAGTGTCAAGTTTTTAACCAGATTGAGCTACATTTGCAAACCACAGATTAAAGTTAAATGTTTGACATTTAGTATTTTAGACTGTAGTATTTTAGGTTTTAAGCATCATGACTCAACTAAAGCTGAATTTGATCTGTGATGATTAGATACACAATATCTTGAACAAGTACACAGAACAAAGAGAGCATAATGTGTCATTCTTCAGCACAGTAAATATAAGTGTACCTTTTCCACTAACTTTCCACATAGCTGACCTGCATCTGTCAACTATGTTGTTTGGATACTACTATTTATTTATTTATGTTTTTTTTTTTAATTAAAAATAAAACAAAAAAGAAGATAAATATAATATATTTTATATTTTACTATATTTATAATATACTACTACCAATCACTAATTTAATCCAGCTCCTGTTACTTGATGACTAGTTTGTTTTACATGTTGTTCAGATAGTGGAACTGTGTGATGCTAATTTTGGTGCTAGCATGGTGTGTGAGGGACATTGATAACAGTCTCATAATCTCACACCCTCTGATGAGACTTTGCAGAATGAGGCGAAATTGTGAGCACAGACTGGCTTCCTAGCCTTGCTAATGTTTGCATGTTTAGTCATTGTTTGTGATTGGTTATTTTACAGCAATCTCATAAGACAGTTTCACCTAAAAAGACAAGGGGAGGTTTCCTTTATTATATATGACATGTGCATAACAAGACAGTGGAGCTAATGCTTGCTGACCAACTAAAGAAAAATGGGGAGAAATTTAGCTTTTGTGTTTTTCTTTTTCTTTTTTTTTGTGGTTAGAAATAGTATTTTCAGTGCATGGGCATGATAAGATGAGAAAAGCTATACAAATCATGATCTTATGGTTAAAATTACGATGCAATAGAAGTATCAACAGATACCCCTTAAAAAAAGGCAGGTACTTGCTTCTATCCATTGGTCATCGATTGGTTGGAGGCAGATCTGAATGT